GAGATTTCTAACATGGAAAAGTGATATTTGAATAGATTCCCCTAAGGCAATCAATTTACTTTTAATTTGTCTGGAACTAAGCTTTTCTTTGTTGCAATGAGAAAGGATTGAAACTGCTGTAAAATTTATTAGCTTCCAGGAAGATTTTGAAATGAATTTTTTAATGATCGTGCTGTTTGCTGTACCCAGGAGCGGTGTCATCCTGATTACAGTATAGTCATAGGGTTGCTGAGGAAACACCAAAATGTGATAAAGCTGGGCTGCTGCACAAGGGTGGTGATGGTGCAGGCCAGATACAGGTCCCACGCTGCCATGGGGCTTGGGGCTGGGGCTGCCCAGCACCATGCTCACCCGTGCTGTGGTTCTTCCAGTCACCTTTTTTCCCCTATTTTTAATTTTCAAGCGACTCCTCTGCTCCTTTTCCTTGCTCCCCTTGTAATAGCACAAATGAGCTCTACTTACTCAGCTCGGCAAAGCTGCTCTGACATGGATTGGATTGAACTGAGCGGCTGTTTGAAAATGGAAACTCCAGGGACTATTGTCATCGCCCAAATTGCACCTTAGATTGTATAACAGCACATGTCATCTGGCCATTTATCAGGAATATTACATTCCCAGGCACTTGCACCTTGCTACGATTTAACTTTGTCTCTTTGGCCAGCACTGCGATTCCACTGAAGATAATTCAATTGCTGTGAGAGCTGAATGGGCACCTTGCACACTGGCTCCATGTTGCTCTGCCTCAGGTGCACAGGCTTTGGATAGGAGGATGAAAGCACTTGTACACCCTGTTCGTTAATCCTTCCTTTTAATGAGAGAAGGCTGTGTGCATGGGGGAGCTGGAGGCTCTGTTGTTCCAGCACCCAGTCTGAATTGTCTGCCAGCAACTCTTGGCTCCTGGCTCTCAGGCACCCCTCCTGTCTTCCTGGCCAAGAGCTTTTTCTGGTGGTATTGGGAAGCATTGGGGGTCTTGGCTGGGTAGGAATCAGGGCACTCGGCCCCAGAATTAGGGCAGCCCCAGTGTTTCATGTCACCTCCCTGCTTCCTGTGTCACTGTGCTGCTGTCCTTGGCTCCCACTCCCTGCCAGTGACACGGGCCGTGCATCTCCCTGTGGATGAACCATGGGTGTTCTCTCTCCCACCAGGTCTTTCTGTAGCTGCTGGCTCTCAGCAGCCTGCTGCCCGGCTCAGACCCTGCAGGCAACACATGGGGCAGGCTGGTGCTACTTATTAGTTGCCTTTCTCCTGATCCCTCGAGAAGGTTTGAAATCTGCAGCTCAACATGGCTTTTGCTGCACTTGTTGAGGAGTGTATTTATTCCAGAGGTGGCTGTTGGTTTGATTTTGTTTCTCACTTGTGATGTGAGAGCTTACGTATGGCAGTGACACATTTTTTCTGCCAGGCCTGACTTCAGGATAACAGCTCACCTCTTGATGCTGAGGCTTCTGCCAGGGTGTTTTGCACCTTGGAGGGAATAATTTTTAAAGTGACCCTGCCCTGGGGTGCTCTGAAACGAGGTGCTGGCTTTGGGTGAAGGCAAACTGGCTGAAAAATGGAGGTTGCTGCTGCAGAACCTGCACACCTCACCTGCCAGACTGCACGGCCACCACCTTCACATGGCACCTGCGCTCAGGTGAGCTCTCTGGCATCTCTCTGGACCACAGCATGGAACAAGCCAGATTGGCAATAGGACTCTCACTCCAGCAATGTGTGCAATGTGCTTGGCTCCTTAGAAAGCCCAGTCCAGCTCAGGGCAGCTTGCACAGCCCCAGGCTGAGGTGTTCCCATTGGTGCACCAGGCACAGAGGTAGGAAGCTGCCTGGTTTTGGCTGCCTGCCACTCCTCATGTCCTGTGTGATGTGGTGGTTATTACCTGGGCTTTGCTCCCTGCATTAAGAACAATTTTTAGTGCAGACAGTAACAGTCGCATTGATGAGGGCAGGTCTAAGGCTGTAAAAGAATTTCCTGTTGTCCTATTTCCGATTGTTAAAGTGGTAAGAAGAAAAAAAAAAGACAGAGCAGTACAATAAAGAGCCGATGAGTGTGAATGGCCGTCCTGGGTGCGGTTACAGCCGGGTGAGTCAGACCGAGCTGCCCTTAGGGCAGTGCCAGCAGTGGTGCCGGTGGCTCCGTGACTCTGCTCTGGAGCAGCAGCTGCTCCTGTGCAGAAGGAGGATGAGGAGTGACAGCCCTGGGATGAGCCCGCTGGAGGAGCCCAAAGCTCTCTGAGCTTTGTGGTGTGGTGTTGTTTGTATGCATCAATAGGGAATGCTTGTGGCACGAAAATTGTACTTTATGTCAACTGCAGGGTTAAGACAGTGATGGGTGGACAGCTGAAGACCTTCATTCTGCCATGGAGAAGCAGCTGCTGCTCAGGGCCCTGCACTGGTCCCTGGGTCTGCTGCCAGGGCTGGTCTGGGGAGCCTGGACACGTGTTGTCCCGAGGAACATTATGGTTTCTGGCTGTGGGATGTGGTCTCTGCAGACCAAAGCTGAGACGTGGGGGGGGCGGAAGGCAGGATGTGCTGTGGAGCTACTTGTTTTCTTCAGGTCTGTGGATGGCTGGAGAATCCTGCCCCTCTGCCTGTCAGCCTGGCATCTTTGGTACTTGTAACATTCCATTTGTAAAAGAAAAAGATTGAAATGGTAGAATTTGATGTAATGCTTTTCATCTCTTCTCCTGCCTGCATTTCAGCTGCCACTAGCATGACTTGCAGACAAGCAGCTTGGTGTCCAAAGCAGATCATCTCCCCAGCAGATAGGCATGGTGCCAGCAGTCTTTAGTGAAACCACTCTTAAAGCCCAGGTCCCTGTCTAGGGTTTGAGGAATATCTGCTTGCAGTACAGGTACTGGTGATGTCCTCAATTTGTGTTTTAACTGTGAAATGTGCCAGCTTGGAATAAGTGGATCAAGGCAAGACAAACATGCTTGTGCACTGTTGGGAGTCAAGTTTGCTTTGGCTGGGGTGGTCCCGTGGATGTGGGGCTGAGCTGTGATGCTGGTCTGGGAAGGTGAGGAGCAGCAGCTCCCTCCGTGCCTTCCCACGCTGGACCAGCCAACCCAGCACACCCAGATCCAGCCTTTCATGTTTGAGGAGAGATTGAAGTGATGTGTGCTCCAGCAACGCGCCCAAGGTCACACAGCACAATAAATCAGTGTCTCATCAGGGATGAGAAACCAAGATATTTCTGCAGCCCCTCCAGCCATCACCAAGTCCTCTGCTATCACAGCCAGACTACACAACTTTGTATGCCTGTAGCACCCTTTTGAAGTTAAGCTGTGGATAAATAGTCAGGCAGCAACACTTTCTGGGCAAATTTTTTTATTATTATTTTATTTTTTTTATTTTGCTCAAGTACTTGAAAGTAGCAGAATCAAAGTATAAGAAGAGCATGGGCTTTTAGATCTTAGTGCAGGTTGTTCTGCATGGAAGGCTCAGAGCATCGTTCTCTCACACTGCTGTAAAGGTGGCTGCCAAAGCCCAGACCTCCTACACAGCCACCTGGCGCCACGGGTAGCTGCTCTGATACAGAGAAAGGCTAATGTTCTACCCATAGATTTTTCAATTAGCTGGCTTCTCCTTTAAAAAAAGAATAAATAAAATCTTCTTTTTCTGAGGTCTGCCTTTTACTCGTTTATTCTCTGTAAGTGTTAAGCTGCTCATGTTTTGGTGCATTGTGTTATGTGCTGAGAATTTTTATCAGCCACCCTAGTGCTCGAATGTGGTGGAAATACCAATGCGTCTGAGGAGCGGAGGTTACGCACACAGATGCACAGAGCAGCAGAAGGAGCAGTTTGCAGATGGACAGGAAGCAAACCCAGGCTGAGTCTGCACCTTCGCAGGCTTCGATCCATCAAACTGGCACCGACTGAGCGCGGCCTCGTAAGGGTAATGGCATTAGTGCTTTAATGCTGCTTTGCCTTATATAGGTTATGATAGGAAGGAGCTACGTCTGAGCATAAAGAAAGGTGGTGCTTTATGAGGACTGGCTGCAGTTACAAGTTCTTATCAAATGAAGAAGGAAAACTCATAAGCTGAGACTGAAAAGCAGCCAGAGTCTGTGCTGTTTGGCAGGATCCACGATAGGATGCTCAGCAAAGGCTGGGGAAGCTGAGACTCCTGGATTTGCTTTTCATGTTTGCACTTGGCTGAGCCCAGCCACGTCCTTGCACCCCGGTTTCTCTGTCTGTGATGGGGGGGGGTGAGGCTGTGCAGACCCTTGGAGTCAGGGGCTGTGCCTGGGTTTGCACCTGCATGGGAGTGCTCAGGCCTGAGCAGAGAAGGCCCTTGGAATGGATTAAACCTCCACTCCATATTTCAGCCCTGTAAAGTGGTGTTGGGACAGCCCTAAGTTGAGAGAAGGGATCTTTATTGCTCTCATATGAATAAAGCCCCGGCACAGGGAATGACACATTTAATCTTCAGTGGAGTGGGGCAGTCTTGGAGATTTATAAAGCTTCTGTAGTGTGGGAGGTCTGTGGGGATTCAGCAAAAAGTTAAAACACACATATACACTGGAAAACAAAAAAAAGAAACTCCCCTCCTCCATCTCCTCCCTTCCCCCCCTCTGCAAAAAGTCAAACTTAAATGTCACGTCAAGCCAAGATTAAAGCACAGTGGCTTTTAGCCCTGGTTACAAACCCAGGAAGGGCTTGAGCCACTTTCCTCGTGGGATGGAGCTGCTGGGATGGGCTTGTAGCAGTGGCTCCTTTCCCCAGGCTGCAGGTCTGGCAGCAGCAGATGACACACAACCTGTTGGAAATTGAGCTCCTGCCTTTAGAGCAGCAGAGAAATGGCAGTAAACAAAAAGAAATAAATCCCTCTTCCTGAGCCTTGCCTTAAACACGGGTGCTGCTGGGGGCAAGGCAACCATGGCTTGGGCGGGAGCGATGAGCAGTGCCTGGCTCGGGAGGTTCCCCCACCCTGGATGGGCTGCGGAGCAGCGACCACCTGCGTGGGGCTCCTCCCTTCACCATCCCTTGTGTTTTCTCCACGCAGATCAGAGCGAAGGATTCCATTGCAGGGAGGAGTGCCGCATCCTGGGCCACTCGGACAGGTGCTGGATGCCCCGCGGCGCCGTGCCCAGCCGCGCCAAGTCCCCCGAGCACGGCAGGAACGTCATCGCCCTCTCCATCGAGGCGACGGCGGTGGACGCGGAGCCTTACGCAGACTGCAGCACAAAAAGGACCTTCGCCACCTTCGGCAAGGAGGGCGCTGAGCCCCTGGCTGACGAGCGGCTCGCCAACCCCAAAGGCAAAAGAACGGTGGACCCGGCCGCCGGCAGCCCCAAGGTGAGCGGTGCCGTCCGCGAGGCGGGCAACAGCAGCGGAGGCCGCAGCACCGCCCCGGGGGGCGGACAGCGAGAGCGGCGGGCAGGAGGGCAACCCGCTCCTGCAGGAACGTCGGGAAAAGGACTCGCCTGGTGCCCGGAGACTAAAAGACATCGTCCTCTGAGTGACACCTGGCAAGAGGATGAGGATGAGGAGGAGGAGGGACCGCACGACTCCCAGCGCAGATTGTTTTTATTGCTTACCAATGGTTCACAGGTTGCTGTATTTAAAAGCTTTCCCTAAATGTATTGTTTATAAATGAAGCTATCGTTCGTGTGACAATCCCACTTGTCTCAACAGGCGGCAGGGGTGTGCAGCCGGAGCAAAGTAGCTGGTTTTTGGTGTTGGCCAGGAGGTGGTGGGTGGCGGGGGCCAGAGGCAAGAGCCCCCCGGTCCTCAGGAGCGCTCAGAATCCCCTCCCTGGAGTTTGTATATTTTTATATCTCAAAAAACAAAGATAAATTTCCATTCCCAGAAATAGCTGGGGTGGTAAATTCCTTATTCGGACACCTTTAGTAATCACCCCGGTGGTTTTGTAATCTGGACAAAATAGCGACTGTTTCTCGTGTGCGACTGTTCAAAAGGAGAGTCGGGTGAGTTTTAATTCTTGCCCAACATGAGCCTCTTTGTATTTTAAGACGTTGCTATTTTGCTATGGACACCCCTGCATTTATGAATCCTTTTGCTGTCACATGCTTACCTGTACTATTACTGTATTTGATATTGCAAATTACTGTATGTCTCGTGATGGCAAAAGGCTTTCCAGCTTAAAAAAAACAACAAAAAAAGAGAAAAAAAAACAAGAAAAAGGAAAAAAAATCACAATCATCTTACTTCAACTTTGGGGAACCCGGAGTTTTTGGACCTGGTGGAGCAAGTGCTTCTTCCAGCCCCTACCATCACTTGCAGCCCCTCTGGCTCTTGCAGGGCAGTGACAGGGCATTACGGGAAGATGTTTTGGGGAAAATTCTGCCTGGATTGCAATTGTTGGATGCACTGTGCTGAAATTTTTCCCTTACCCATCTCTTTTGCATAATTTCAAGGCAATGCATGGAAAGGTTTTCCAGAAGTTGGTTGTCGTCTTGTTTTTTTTCCAGTGCCCAGATTTAGATATCTCCCATCTCCAATCACTTCCAAGTCACAGTGATGGAATTATTTAAGAGATCTAAATTACCTTCTCAATTAGACACACACTTCCAAGTCAGCATTTCCCAATCATGATTATGCCAACTGTGTGTGTGTGTGTGTGTGTGTGATCATGGCATGGATTTTAGACTGTCCTGATTTCTTTCTATCCCTGCATCATAAGGAAGTATGGAATGAGCAATAGTGATGTTAATTTAGGGGCAGACAGGTGATATGTAACAACGCTACTAATTCAATTAATGTGCCTTCTTAATGGAGAAAAAATTAAAGCAATTCATTATTTTTTCTCATAATTAAGGACTTTTTTTGTGTGGGTACAAATTTACTCATATAAAATTGATTTTAAAATTGAGCTACTTGAATAGCCATTTTGTAGAAGGGAGAGAGGGAAGGGGTTTCACAGCTCTCTGCTCTCTTGCAGTGATAATTCCTCAGTGAGGTATGAGTAAGGTAGGAGGATTTCAGTTAGTGTATTATTATTCTTGTTAACCCTTCATCGTAAAGATTTTGCTACCCTAAATAATGTTTCCTAGAATTTAAAATTTATTATGGAAGGGAAAATATATAGCTCTTGCCAATGTTTGCTGTACCAGCAAGTCGAAATTAGTGGTTTCAAGAAAAATAGTCTTTTTAGGTCTACATATCATGATAAAATATTTGTTATTTTGATTTATTTAAATTAAAAACATCAACAAGAAAACAAGCTCCAGTCATTATTATCCTCAAAATAAAATTAAGCTCCAGCCATTTGTTTCTTCAGGGCAAATTGATCCTGCCTGAAGCCATAGCTGGTCCAAGACAGATCTGCAGTCAGTTTGTTCTCCCTGCCACTTGCTAGGGCCAGGAATTATGAAACAACCAACAAGAAAATGGTCGTCTAATGAAACTGGTGGTGCTTCCCTTGCTGGTGTTGATGACTACCTCATTCAGCTCCCATCCCAGCAGTAACATGATGTCCTGCATCCCTCTGGAAGGTGAACTGGGAATTTTCCCCTCTCCTGGAGTTTGAGCCCATTTTCAGGGATATGTTATTTCTGTTCCAGTGGTTGTTTCCTGCCTGTGTACTGTTACTGCTGTAATTTATTTCTGGTTTTGGTTTTGTTTGGGGTTTTTTTTCCCCAAATGTGTGTATTGTAATGCAAGCAAAGAAGAAAGCAGCTGGCTTGAGGCTGTTGGAGTAACTGGATTTTCTGTAACTGTTAGGCTTGGTTTATTCTGATGTTACCTCTTTGTCAGCTCTGGGGTTTTTTTTGGGAGGGAAAGCTTCTCATGTGTTTGCTGAGTGACAGCACCTGCGATGCCCCATTTGTCAGATCCCCTTGGCTTTGCAGGGCAACGAACCCACATCACCCCCCATCATCCACCCCCACCTCCAGTCGGATGGGACCCATCTCCCCCCACTGCCCATCAAAGGGATGGGGACTGGGGGTCCCCCCCACTGACCCGGGGCATCCCATCACCATCCCCAGCCACCCAGAAAGTGCCAGCCCTTAATTTCTGCTGAGCGTTGCCCTCTGCCTGCGGAGCTGCCACCACCAGCCTGGCGTTTTGGATGAAAAATAGATGCTAACTGAAAAGGAAGAAAAAAAAAAAAAAAAAAGTAAAAAAAAAGGAGAAAGAAACATTTCTCTGATTCACCCAGAGGAAACGTTCCTTGCCACTCTGAATAAAAGTGCAGCCAAGAAGGAATGTGAAATAATTCTGTATTAAAAGGGAGCATTAAAGAGGTCAGTAGACCCTTATGCTTCCAAGAAAATCCTTTAAACACCAGTTTTCTGGGCTGACCCAGGCTGCAGCCAGGGATGCTGAGTGAAGGGCCCTTCCCTGGCATGTCCTTGCTGCACAGGGCTGAGGGGAGAGCCAGAGTGGCCCCCACTTACCTGCTTGTCCCTCTTCTGAATATTTTGCTACTCCTGTCACTGTCCCTCTGTGTCATTTGAGATGAGTTCAGGGCTCCTGGGCAAATTGCAGTCTCTCCTGTTTTTTAGTTTCCTGGTTGCATTAAAACTGGCCATGCAAAAATATGTTCAAGGTTGCAGGGCAGGTGAGTTGGTTTTGGTTTTGGTTTTTTGGTGTGTTGGTTTTTTTTTTGGTGGGGGGTCCAGATGTAATTATCACACTCTTTAAAAACTTAAACCTGTCCTCAGATGTAGTTTAGGAAAAATCGCTGGAGTCTGTTGATTTCCTGCAGGCAAGCTTGCTCTGCTCCCCTGATTATCCCGTTTATCCAGGGAGCAGCAACCACCTATGGTTCTCCCTGGATGAGGACTCCATCTGGAACAGCCCTGGGGCTGAGGACCAGAGTGAGGGGGTGAACCCACCCTGTGCCAGCCCAAGACCCTTCCTGGCTCCCTAGGAGCCCTTGGCCTTTCCCACCCTTGAGGCTGCAGGGCTGTGCCAGGGGCACTGAGGGGGACAACTGATGGCTAGAAAAACACCGCAAGTGCCGTCCTGCTGAGGTTGTTGCCATTCCCTGTTTGTCGTGAAGCTGGAGGTGACCTGTGGATGACACGTTGTGCAGAAGTGAATTCCTTTTTGTTTCTTTCCAAACGGGAAACGAGTTGCTTTTGTAAAGAACACACTGTCTGATGAATATGTGCAAATTATTCTTGGGGGGGGGGTGGGAAAAAAACCAACATAATTATGAATGGAAACACATTTGTCTATCGTTGGGGAAGACTGATGATCTTGTTGCTACAGCTGCTTTTGCAGCAATGGGTAATACCAGATCCAACCTGTGAGCTGTGGTTCCTGTTGGGGAGAAGCCCAGCTGACCCCGCCGCCAGCACGGCGGAGACGGACCCTTGATCGCCATCAGCTGATGTTCAGCTGAAATAAGCTGGGATGTAATCTCCAAACACACCTAAGGCAAACTGGTTTTCAGCCTTGCAGGGGTGACAGGTACGAGCCACGGGTCTCACACGGCAGCGCCGGCACCACCTGGACCTGGGAAGAGCTGGTGGTGAGAGCGGGGCTGCTCCCCCGCCGGCAGCGGGCAGGGCGGCCCGCGCGGTACATCTCGTCATGGTGTCTCCCTTGCTGAGTATCTGAAGAATCAATTGTTGTATATGCTGATCTGTATGCTATGTACATTTTCACAGTGATTGAATCATTGTAAACAAGAAAATGGAAAAAAAAAAAAAAAAGAATCACCGTTCTGTCTATTTTATGAAGATGATAAAGCAGCTTTATTAAATTATTACGATTCTGTTTCAAAATGGTGTACCTGCCACTATGGGTTTTTTTTCATCTGATGAGAACTTTTTTTTTCCACCTAAATGTGATTTTTTTTCTTTTCTCTGCTTTGAGCATCTAATGCATTTTAGTATTAAAGCAATTATTGAATAAAAATGGAAATTAAGTGTTTGGTTAAATATGCCTGAGTGGGTTTGCTTTGACGGCCTCCAGGTGCTGGCCCTGCAGAAGGCAGCACACAGCTGGGTGCTACCCCAGCCCTTTCTGCACATCACCCCCCTTCATCCACTTCTCCCACAGCTGATCTGCTTTGGTGCCTGAGAAGCTGCAAGCCTCAGGGCAGAGCTTTGCCAGCCTGGCTGTCCCCATGGGTGACCTGCTGGGGCGGGCAGGCTCTGAGCACCATCATGGCTCTGGCAGAGTTCCTCTCCTCACTCCCACAAAAACTGGGCACAGAAACTGCTCTGACAGGGGTAAATGTGGGTAGGAAGAACCTCCAACACAGACTTCTCCACTGAGAAGATGTATTTTCCCTGGATTTTTGTGAGGACACTTCAGAGGCTTTGAGGAGATGGTGAGGAGCCTCTGAATTTATGGCCTGTGTGTGGACGGCTCTTGGGCAGGGATGATCCAAGCACTCGGTGTCTAGCAGGGGAAACACCTTCCCTAATGGCCTCAGCTGCTCCTCTGGCTCAGATGAGCAGAGTTCCTCTCCTCACTCCCACAAAAACTGGGCACAGAAACTGCTCTGACAGGGGTAAATGTGGGTAGGAAGAACCTCCA